CCCCTCCCCCCACCCGTTACTTGCGACAAGACTATGCATGCACGTGTGTATTTGCGTTCTCGCGTGTGTAGGTACAGTTGCGGGCGCAGGGGCCGTGACAGGTTTAGGAAGGTCTTAGCAGGTTTTAGGCAGGTTTAAGCAAATTTTAGGCAAAATTATTGATGTTTTGGGGATTATTACCATCATCATGCACCACTACCATTGTCACCATGGTCTTCACTACCATCACCATTTTAAACCATCATCGTCCGGTGTCATCATCATCATTAACATCACTATCATCATCAGCACCACCATTACCATTACCCTCATTATTATGATTAACATCGCATTCTTATCAACACAATTACGTACCATCATCACCACTACCATTGTCATCGTGGTCTTCACTACGATCACTATCACCATCGCCATCATAATCATTATCAACACTATCTACATCATAATAATAATTATTGAATAATATCAATAATCATAATGATATTAACGACTTTATTATGACAGATAGTATCAAATCTATCTTCCCAAATAATCAATCTAAACCACCTAATTTACACAGGGATAGACATAACACTACTGAAGACTATTTCCTGCATTACTATATCAGTATACACATGTACCGATGAGGCGCCAGATCTAAAGCCAATATCTTCTAGTTTTGTCTAAAGCCCCGTTTACACTAGCGATTTTTGCTGCGATTTTTTTTTTTTTTTCCGATTTTGTCCATAATAAATAATGGTAAAGAATTTACTTGTAAAGTTTTTTTCAGGATTTCAAGATTTTCCTAGACGAATGTCTCTTTTGAAGGATGAGACAAAATATTTCACATTTCCGAAAATTGCCACAAAAATCGCAGCAAAAATCGCCAGTGTAAACGGGGCTTAACTCAGTTTTCATTTCGCCAAAGGATAATCAATAATCTTTGTAAGTAGCTTCATGATTTATAATTTTATCCCTATTAATCCCAAAGTTTGCTTGAGAGACTTAACGCGCATTACTTATGATTAGAATCAATTGTTTCGTCTCTTTTCTTCAATTTTGAGTATCAAAACTAGCTTACGATTTAATCATAACGGCAAAGAAATGTATGTAGCGACGCTTAGCATTGAGTAGATGACGCCACAGACATTATTAAAAATTCGTAAAAATATAATACTTCCCATCGGAATATCGAGAAAAAACTGTAACCAGTGGTTATTATAACCTTAAAGATTATTCCAGTAAAGTTTCAGCTGAATTAAAATTCGTATGACTTTCGTACTAGTTCCTCTTTAAAATTCTCTAAAATACAAAAAAGGTTATCTAGAATGCAAAATAAAAAATAAAAATAAATAATAATAATAATMATMATCATAATAATCATAATTAAATGCATAATAAAAAGCGATTTCCGCTCATGTAGAAGATGGAACTGGGCACCCAACCTGCTGCAACAGTGGATGGGAAATATTGATAACATAGTCCTTTAGCATAAGGTTTACCGTTAACCACTAACTCCTAGGAATCAGGCCCAGAAACACGCCCGCAAACACAGAGAAACACTCAGCATCAATGTGAAATTCAATGAAATTCAATGTGGCAGCTCTGCCAACTTCGTTATGACGCCTTGCTAAATGTCGAAAGTTTGAAGGAAAACGCCCGACGTCGAACTGCAGTTTGAGATTTGCGGTACGTAGCAAGAAATTCGTAATAAAGGACACTAATGATGACGATGAAAAACCCTTGTCAGAAGTCTACAGGTTTTCATTTTCATGACTAGACGCACAGACGAGTTTCTTAATTTAGCTTTTGCGACAGGATTTAAGTCATTGTCTAGTTTTGGTGAATTTTTTTCCATGTTTCCGCAAAACCCAACACTAAATTCCAATTTCAGTAATCTGTGAGTCAGCCATGCCCTGAAGCAAGTGATCGATTTTCAATGGTTTGTTTGAAATAAACGGATTACACCGGTGGAGACAAATGCTTTTAGTTCTCAGACATTTCAGTCATTTATCAATCACACATAATTATTTTCCTCGCCGACAAAAAGTCATTGCAAACCTTTTTTTAAGGGGCTGGTTTGGACCATTTAAGAAATAAATTATCTATAATAATAATAATAATAATAATAATACGATATCTAAATATATTTGCAACAAATTAATATAATAAAATATACTATGATAAAAATATATCTACTAATGTATAACCATAAAATCTATTTAGTAAAAACTAATCCTAATAATAATGATAATAATAATAATAATGATAATAATAATAATAATAATATATAGTATACACCCAAGAGAATATGAACTAAGAGAAGGAATCTTACCTATATAGCCTTGTAACCATCATGTGCACAGTTTGATGCTATTTTTAGCTTGGAGAAATTTTGAGTGAAGAACCTGATTGGTTGATTTCTTGAGGGTAGGCGGCTTCCAGTCTTGCAGTAAACATAAGCCTGTGTTTTTGTCGTGGACGTAGCGAAATATGGCGCTTTTCGTGTCCTAAAACGAGGCATTAAAGGGAAGCATGATTATCGCGCATGTATGGTAACGAGTTAGAAATAGCATCCATGATTCTAAAAATAGCATCAAAGTGTGCACATGATGGGGCACGGAGATTCTTTCTCTTATAGTTAATTTTCTCTTGATACACCTAATTCAAAAAACGTAGTCGAGCTCGAGAAATGTTTATTATATTTGCATATAGACATGTAAAAATGCACAGTAGAGAAAAGTCGGTCGACCTAGATTAACAACATGCCAAAGCCATGATGCATAAAATGTGCAMAGGAAGGGAAAACTGCAATACGCATGAAATTAGCATAATTGTTTGTCTTCCCATGCTTCCCTTCGGTCTTAGTTTTGATGATATAATCTTTTTTTGAACCCGACAACGTTTTTTCAATTAGGTGTATATGCTGTATACACAAAAGAAAGAAACGAATGAAATTGACAAACTTAGAACTAACAAAAAGATAATAATAACTATCCTAATTGTGAATCACAGTCACTTTGGATGAAAATATGAGTTTGTTGTCTTTCTTTTAGGGTTCTTTGTCATCAAGAATAGCTTCATTGATGCTATATATAGATAATAGATGCTTAATGTTAAATCTATTTGCCTTACTTTCCCAGCGCGCCACCAAAAGCTCATTATGCAACCGTAGATATGTTTCGCAAACGTTTGTGAGGACTGATGTATTCCGACCATTTTTCGATTACTTTTAAAATAAGATCTAGCGCCAAAGAAAAATACACACACACACACAATATAGTGTTTCATCTAAACTTCTATCAAAGTTAAACGATAAAATGCTAAAAATAAAGTGACACATTACGTCCTCTTGTTTTCGTTATCTAAATATATTTAACCTAAATGGAAAATCGGTTTAATTCGTTAAAGCTTGGCAGGCGTGCTTTAGCCGACTCAGTCGCTCTAAACGATCGTGTCTGAAATTAGATGAAAGAAATAATTGCGTGAACACGTATTTGCTATAGCAACGATCTTCACTAAGCTGTGTTAACACAACATCAAGTCGTGTGTATTGAATTTTTTATAACATTGCCGCTTGGAGTCTTTTTGGATCGACTGGGGTAAGCCATCAATTCAACGATTCCTGTTTGTATGTATTACCAGCCAAGCCCTTCTTAAACATGTAAATATTCCATTAAATTGATCATTGCTTTCCCACCACCACTTGATTGGTTTCCTCTACAATCAAGATCTCAATTGGTCTTTGGTCATGGAAGGCTTAGATTTTGTCTGCAAAAGGTTTGGTTTGCTTAGAATAAACACGTTTAGAAAAGTTTGTCCATGATTAGTCGATCGCTGCTGTTTAGTCTTCCAAGTCATTCACTCTACATGAGCTCCTTGAATAATTTCTGTGGTTTTGATTCTACGATTTCGTTTCTATTCTCACTGATTCACCTCTGCCAGACTTAGCGGCTGACATGCCCTTGATATTGAAATTCAGCTCTTTGATTATTAATTGACCGCTCTCTTTGAACTGAGAGTTGGAACGAGAGAACGCACATATACGGTATGTTTACATTGGAGTGAAAAATCGGAATATTTTTCTTTATCGTCTTTTCTGTTTGTGATTTACCAAACGAAACGAAACTGTACATTTTGCTTAACAGAGCGAGAGTGAGAGTGTACGCAGACAGAATGAAAGAGACTAAAAAAGAAAGAAAGAGAGAATGAATGAGTTACACAGCGGTGAACGTTATTAGAGTGGGTTTTTTTTGATATCTTCGACCGAGTCGCCAATATTTTCTCATATTGACTTTCACGACTCTCGATAGGAAAGTAATTAGTGGTATAATTCCTAACCGATGACGACAGGTTTATGTAGAAAACCCCCAATTGGATTCGGTCAGATTTGATCTTGAAAATGAAGCATGTCATTGGCGAGAGCCGCATTACTTCACTGGCGACAGCGCATTATTTCATTTGCGAGAGAGCATTATTTTGAACAGATAACGTAGGAGGCTTGCAATAGCAAGATAAAGTGGGATCTATGCGATGAACTTGTAGAATACACTGTGCTCTCCGTTCTAAGAGGATTCTAGAGCCGTATTAAGTCTTTATAGAACAAGGTTGAGTAGATAGTTAATGAAATACTACCTGATTAGCTTCAATATCAGTTCGTGATATTTGAATTCGACCGTTGATATTGAAGTTAAATGCATTTATTTTTGCTTTCAGGCCAGGCTACTCCATAACCTATGCGCACCYAGCCTTGAAAATTGATTTTAGGAAACAATGGACGTGTCTACAAATACCGATCCGACAGTGGCCATCTAGAACAAACTAGCTCAAGAGGAACTCACTTGTGTCAAGAAAGTGGAAGATTCATCGACGCTAGCAGGTACACGAGAGAAAAGTATTACCGTCAATGTTACCATACATGTTTCCATTTCGTCTTATGATTATTTAAAGGCTGTGTAAAGAGTTGATATAATCAGAAAACTCACGCTGTTAAAATTAAGGAGCCTGTTGAAAAACTCGTTACTCAAACGTCAAAAGAAAAACTTTTTTTGGTGCTGAAACGTCATGTCGAATTTGACTAGTTTTTCAATCGTGTACGAAGCTAGTTTACAGTACAATGGTACAAATAGTACTCTTGTCTTGAAAGACTCGAAGACAGCCAAGGGGTTTAAAGTTGTCGCGTACGTTGCAGTGCTGATCGTAGCCATTACTGGGAATCTATTTGTGGTGTCGGCCATGAAGACGGATTGCCGAGGGAAGCTTCGTAAGTTCACATACCTTGTGATTACAAGTATAGCAATATCTGACTTACTCATGGCTGCTATGAGTATTCCAGAACGTATAACTCGAGTCCTGGCCGAAGATCAGTGGCTAGTAGCAGGAACAGGTGGAGAAATTCTCTGCAAAGCTGTGAATTTTGTCGAGAAGGTGTCTATCACTGTCTCAGCTTTGCACGTCATGGCGCTTGCACTTCGACGGTTTCTGGCTGTTTTTAAGCCTCCTGCTTCTTTGACGTGGAAAAGCTATCGAAACTCGATTCTAGTGATTTCACTGATGTGGCTTTTTTCAGCGCTCTATTGGTCTCCGGTGCTTTACTATGGAGGTCTCTTGGTAGTACCCGGGTCAGGCTTGTACTGTAAAGTGCGCTATTTTTACCCTCAGTGGAGAACAAGCTACTTGGTCTTCTTGATTTTACTTCTAGGGATTTTAGTTCTTGTTTTGGTGTTGTATTCTGCAATCTGGTTCAAACTCTTGTGTAGCAAAACTCTAAGGGAACAGCAAGTTGGAATGGCGTCTTTAGTTCGTCGAAAAACGACCACAATGGTAGCGGTGTTAGTCGCGACATTCTACGCGTGTTTTCTACCGTACTGGATTGGATGGATTCTATGCTCTTATCAACAAGTCTTCTGCAATAAAATTTTTACCTTTATCTCGATTTATTTAACTCACGCAAGCGTGGCGGTCAACCCTTTTATCTGCCTGACATTCAGTCGCCATTATAGGCAAGCTCTGGGTGAGATTCTGCCTTTTTCTACCAGAGAGCGTCGGGCTAAAACTCGCGCTCACGGTAAAGCCAAGGTGCGCAGCCCTAGAGAAAGATATGCTATCTAATATTAACTCAATAAAGACATCATACAACAACAAATAAAAAGATAATATTTAGATTATGATTAGGAATAAGTAAATCGTTTAAAACCATGTCAAGTTCAAGATAGCTTCACTCCCTCGAGTCGCGAAGATGATGAATCACATTGAACAAATGTTTTTCTGGAAAAGCATCTGAAGTCGTACGTGCGTTAAATACTCGATGTCCGAAAAAAAAAAAACGTGTATTGAATAGACAAAAAGGTGTTGTAATGATTAAACTTTAATATAGATAAAAATGTTAATATTAAATTTAAAATGAAAAAATATTGTTGGAAAATTAATTATTTTTTTCGGAAAAAAGTGGGTTTGTTTCTAACTGTTATCTTTTGTTTCCGTGTCTGACATTAATCCATCCAGAAAAACAGATTAAAGTTGGGTTATACTATCTTTGAGAAGTGAAATAAACTGCGTTTCCTATCTAAATAAATTCTTAAATTAAATATTAAAGAAAAAGTTATTTCTAGATGTGAATCGCGGCTATTGTTAATAGTATTTTCCTCGATGGTAACAGTATTGGATTGGATATCTCTCGGGCTAAGATTTCCTACGAATTTGACTAGAGGATGTTAGTAAACCACTTGGTAATGTGATACTTTGGCGATGCATTATTTATTGTGGCATACTAGTAATATTCTGAATCTTCACGACAAATAAGTGATGACATAACTGTGTTCATTATTTGCGTAGCTTTAAAAGACCGACCAGAAAAAAAAAATTAGAGAGCACGTTTTTCAACGTATCTTCTCGTCATTTCTTTTACACTTTAAAGCAATGAAAATGACACTTACGCGCTCGCCTTTCGTTTTCAACCTACAACGGAGCTACTTTTCTCAAAAAGGGATTTTTCATTGCAGGTCTTTTGGTTCGAAGGATTAATTTTAAGCCTTTTTCGGCTGATTACAGACGTCGCATGATGACCTGAAGTAATTTAGTAAAACTTTGAAAAGCCTCGTGTGGTTTATTTTAATCATCTTGTCGTGCGTTGGTGAAGGAAACAAAAGACTATTAAGGAGAAAGGAAGAGACGAATAATAACAACTCGCACGGAATGAATTAATGAATAGAATATTGTGATAGGAGTAAAATTACACGAAAAAATATGTTTCAGTTTTTTTAATTTCCATTTTCCTTTTTTCCTTCTTTAAAAAAAAGATTTTTTAACTAACACTCTTCGGAAAGCAAGTGTCGTCGAATTGTTCTTAGTTCTCAGTAAAAATTCACACATTTATGTAATTCTCTAGATTTAATCTATTCCACGCTTTTCCTCATTAAACAAATGAATTATTAACGCATTTAAATATACGTTTATTGTACTTATATTTTTCCGTTCAAAATTCGATTTTTATGAACGTAAAACCGTAGAAAATCTCTCACGAATTTAACTAACAAACTCGAAAACATTACTTTTCCTAATAATTTTTTTATTATTCCCAATTCCACCTTATGACATGAGGGATTTAATATTATGTTTATTCTTAAATTTATTTGTTCATCTGCAGCTTGAAAAAATACTTATTGCTTCCGAATTTGTTCACTAGTGGGCTGGCTACCTTTGTGGGCTAAGAACCATACGCGCATGCGCCAAGCTAGCCACTTTAGAAACGAAGAAAAAAAACTTGTCATTTGAGAAAGCATCTCAAGATTAGTAAGTCTGGCAAATTTGAACAGGATTAGACGAAAAGAACCGGATTTAATGGCTTTCAAAAGTTTTCACACATTTGAAAGCTTGTAACTCTGGTTCGTTTTAACCGGAAACGCATTCAAATTTTACAGACTTACCAATATTGGGATGCTTTATCTTTAGTATCTAAGAGAAGATATCGGTCACTATGCATTTCACTGATTGCCGGTTAGTTTTCTACTCCACTTGGTATTAACCATTCTGAGATTGAGAGACATATTTCCAAGATGGCGGCCATTTAGTCCCCTAAACAGCCCCAAAATGCACTGCAATGCCAACTCCACCCAGCTTTTYTCTCAACCTCGGAATGGTTAAAGCTCTAAAGTGGTTTCATCGACTCTTCTCGAAACACAGAAGTCAGGAAACACAAGCGGTAATCACCTAACTCCTTTGACAAGCAATAGTTAACGTTGGCGTCGAACTTTCTTTAATGACTAATGGTTTCAAATTACCCGTCATTTGGGCGGAAAAGCTGATAGACAATCAGGCGTAGATTACTCTTTGTCTAACTCTTTGTCTGAGTTGATAGACCCGTAAGTTAGAAAACTGTTAATTGTTATATTGCGATTCCCTGAAATAAAGATATTGTATTGTACTACACTGACTAATGGCTCCAGATAAGTGATAGATAATAGGGCGTAGACTGCTCTTTGCCTAGCTCCGTAAGTAGAGATCGTAAGAATTAAGCAATGGTCAATGCTTAGCGTGCGTAAATCTATTTATGGTGCACACGGATAGGTGGAGAGCACGATGGTAGCGCAAGAGTTGCACGAGAGGTAGAGCCGAGAACAAAATTTGAATTTTTTTTGATCAAATATTTTTTACGGCCTTGCTATGTTATAAAAGCAATGTTCAATGCTAGGCTGTGCGTATATCCAGTTCTTGATGCACGCGGGAGGTTGCTAAGCACGAAAAAAGCCGACGAGGCATAGCCAAGAAAATTCAAATTTTGTTCTAACTAAATCTTCATTACATAGCGCGCTCTACTCAATCACGTCAGCGTGCACCGTTCAATTTTGAATGCACGCTCGCGCACGTTAATTTGAGGAAATAGAAAACGCGCGCGCGTGCTGTGTGAAGTTATAAAGCACGCTGGGGTTGGCAGAACGCGAGACAAGTGTTAGGAGAAGCACGACACTCAAGAAGTGTCAGAATCAGAAGCACTTACACTTCTTTCGTGCTTACGCCACTTCCTGCGTGCTTTATTACTAAACGGAGCACGTATAAAGCTGTTTTATTCGTTTTGTTATATAGTTACTAATTTTATTTCGGTATTGAATTTATTCACGCAAAAAGAAAGACGGTCGCAGGATCTAGCAGAACTTCGCGCGCGCGGATGGCGTCAACACTGTGCTCTGTTAACTAATAAAGCACAGTTTTCGACCAATCAGCGCGCGCGTACTATTCTAACTACATAATAAATCGTGGCTATGTTATAAGTATATGTAATAGGACTCCATGCTGTCCAATTAAGAAATAATTGGACGAGAAAAATTCCGAGGACTGACAAAATTGGATGAGGCCGTAGGCCGAGTCCAATTTGGCAGTCGGAGGAATTTTTCGAGTCCAATTATTTCTTGATTGGGGAGCATGAAATCCCATTACCTATTAATTATATAGCTGCCTAATTAATCCCATATCAACAAGACCTGTCCAATTAAGAAAATAATTGGACAGTTACCGACAGTATATGGGATTAATGACAAGCTGTATAATTAATGAAGTTATTGAATTGAATTGTATTGACCCGCAACGGCTCCAGATTATTAGTCAATTACGTGCGGTAGCTGATCAGTAGATAATTGGGCTCAGACCACTTTTTGTCTAGCTAGATATAAAAAATTGAAAATCGTACAGAAAATCGTTATTTAAGAATCAATTGGTGTGTAGCTGTATTTGACTTTCACATCTAGGGTCTGAGGTTTGATTCAAGGGCTTGGCATCACATGTGAGTAGAGTTTGTTGGCTCCCTTTATTGTGTTGTTGTTGTTGTTTTGCTCTCGTCTCTACATTTGTATGTGTTTTGTTTGTTGGGTTTTCTTTTTTGTTGTTATTGTTGTTGGGTTTTTATATTTGTATGTGTTGTGTCGTTTGTTGTTGTTGTTGTTGTTGTTTACGGGCCCTTAAGATTAGTTAAGATTAACTAGAGGTCACTTAAGTGCATAGACACAAATTTTCATTCAAATTTCACAAGTGCGCAGCATGCGAGAGGTCTGTTGTATTATTCATCGGTCAGCCTCCCGGGCTTGTTTTATCTCATCCCCTATCCATGTACGTAACTTAAGCCTTACGTACTTTTGAAACGGAGTTCAGATAAAGAGAGGAGGAAGGTGCGCAACGATTAGTTGAGCAGCTACATCTGTTATATATCTTTACTTTGCCTTTATCCCGCGGATTACGCGCGCAATGTTCATACATAATTGAAATATTTGAGAAGAGGCAAGAACTTTTGTGCTTCCCTGTGGAATCATCTGAAGCCTGTGATCTCATTGTGTTGGTTTCAAGGTTTTTAAACTCATCATTAGCGTTCTATTACTGGGATTCCTGTGCTTCCACAAGTACTTACTTCCTAACTGCTCATTATGCCTGCTGTCATGAAGGTCAACAACAAAGGATGATTCCTTTGCTACTGTTTGCGTAACACTTTTATTTACAAGACAGGGTTGTTAGCCCTGTGCCCAATCCCTTAGCCTTGAGGACCGGTAGGCTACCACAAGTGGCCCAGTATAATAGACCTCCTCGGCTTGGGGTAATGTTTTCCCATTTCTGACCACGTGTCATTCCCTTGAGAATAAGATTCTTTGTTTGAAATRATATTCTAGTTCAGTTCAAAAGAAAAAAAAAGAACTGAACTAGAATATCATTTCAAACAAAGAATCTTATYCTCAAGGGAATGACACGTGGTCTGAAATGGGAAAACATTACTCCAAGCCGAAGAGGTCTATTATACTGGGCTACTTGTGGTAGCCTACCGGTCCTCCAGGCTAGGAGGTTGGGCACAGGGCTAACAACCCTGTCTTCTAGGGAATGACATGTGGTCTGAAATGGGAAAACATTACGTCAGAGCCGAAGAGGTCTATTGTTTAAGGTCCATCACGTATTATCGTGACAATGGYTCGGACGTCTTGCGCCTTCGATAACTAATCCTCATCGCTTTAACGCGTAGACCAAGAGGATCCTGCAAAGAGATCTTCAACTCCAAGCGATACTGTAAGTTGAACAAGAGACAGATGATTGGATTGATGGAACAGTTGGAGTGCAGTAACAGAATACTGATAAACTCATAAGTAGGGTTGCAGGTTGTTTTCAGTTGTGTTACGAGATACGAACAAGAGATCCACCCGATCCAGTAAGGTAAAAAGCAAATATAAAAAGCTGCAACGATAATTGAAATCATCCGTGCCATACGCCTCTTGGAACGATCCACTCCTTTCAGTATAGAAGACATCTGGTGTCCAGGCAGCTTACGGAGCCACAGCTTGAAGGCCACAAGCAAGTACAACACCAGTATAAGCACGAGTGTAGCGAACAGAAGAACAAGAAACAACACGTACCAATATTCCCAGTAGGGAGTGAACTCTCTGACGGCACACACCGTTTGTCCATCTTTTACTCCGAGACCCCCGAAGTAGAGAATCGGTCCCCAGTAACAGATAGAGAAGCCCCATATTATGGCTACAGTAATCTTAGAAGATCTGATAGAGACCATTGACTTGCATGGGTAGAATACAGCGAGGAAGCGATCGATRGCCARGGCGCCGAGATGAAGGAAGGAAACGGTGATGGAAACCTTTTCGACGAAATTGACAACCTTGCACAAAGCTATACCTGTGGACATAGAGAGCCTCGCTTAGTTGATGTATATCGTATAACCGGATGACCCAGATGGGGTATCATCATCATCCTTTATGCCTGTGTGGCACGTAGGGCTAACACCAAGGACTTCTGCAGATGGGGTATGTAAATGCCGGATTTATTTTACTTCGATCACGAAGAGAGGTGTTTGCTTAGTCACTCGCGCCAGACATGCCTGGCTAAAGCGTTCGACGCCAGATCAAATTTGAATTTATAAGTACATTTTTCCGAGAGGACACCCGGACAACCCGAAAAAAAACCGCTCTCAAGCACAGAGAACCAAAAAGCAACTATACCATTGGGTGATCAATGCATCTTCCTATGAAGACAGACAGACAGACAGACAGACAGACAGACAGACAGACCAAAGACCTAGTGTATTGGTTTCAAACTTTTCTAAATTCCCTCTCGATACTGACTACACATATTAGCTTGCTTCTGGTGCTACAGAGAATTTAAGAGAGCATGTCAGCAAAAATCAAACATCGGGCGGCAAGGGTGAAAAATTTGATTTTGCTAATATTTTAAACTTAGGTAGGCCTTAGTGTAAGTAAAACCACTGTGTAGTTTGTTTGGTAAAATAGCGCTTAGTTTTCGAGAAAATCGAAGAAAAGAGTTTTGGACTAAATT